CGAAGGCTGCCGGAGAAAAGAAGGTGTGGGGGAGAAACACTCCATTACCGACCGGCTATGAGCAGAAAAATTGTCCTCCTTCGTCATGGTTAAAGGTGATGGGAGAGGGCTCGGAGAGTCAATCGGAACAACTAAAGCAGTCGTCCCCGGTCTTTTGGGAGGCGCGATCCCCTTTCGTAATAGCCAAGTGACCTGCGACCCCCACTGACATATTTGCATATTTGCCTAAAAAGGCATTTTTTAATAGAGTAAAGCCACTTCTTCTCAGAAAGTAGAGGCTTTTTTCTCCCAAAGAATCTTTCTCTCATATATGCACACTAAACTCTGACAAACGCTTCAAAATATAGGGTTTCCTGAGCGCATGCAGATTTCCCCCGTAGCAACACCACTTACCGAGTAGCGTTTTCGGATTGGTGAGTCCCAACTGTACGACTGGGTTTTCTAGGATAGCTTGGAAGAGAGGGCTGGTGGGGTCAATTCCCTTCTCTAAATCCTCTGGGGTAGGTTTCCGGTCTCCTAGCAGCCATTCACACTATAAAAAGTCAGAAATAATAATAATAATAATAATAATAATAATAGTAATATCCTCATCCTCATCATCTCAGAACCTGCAGAGCTGGAAGGGACCCTGTAAGATCATCCAGTCCAGCCCCTTTCAAGGAGGCCCAGTGGGGGAATTGAACTCCCAGCCTCAGGCTCCACAGCCAGAGAACTGAACCACTAATGTTAATCACTTGAGAAGTTTCTAACAGTTTAAATACACATGAAGAAACCATCTGAGGGGAGATTTTCTCTACTTGTACCGAGAACTGAAAAGTGATTTTTTTTAAGGATTTGTACCGCTCTCCCATACAAACAGGAATGTTAATTCCGACACACAAAAGCTTTCACGCTGTTTATAAACTGCCCCACGTGCTAAAAGCAGCTCAAAAGAAGAAAGAGCCAGAGTCGCTTGACTTCATGGCACAGGGGTTAAACTGCTGCACGGGAAAAGACCATCGTGCTGAGAAAAGTCCAAGGCAGGAGGAAAAGAGGAGGACGTAATGGGAGATGGATTAATTCCATACAGGAACCACCATCTTCGGTTTGCAAGACCTGAGAAGGGACTTCTTGGGGGTGAATAATTCATAAGGTCACTAAAAGATGGAATCCAGTTGATGGCAAAGAATGACGACAATCCTCCCAAGTCATCTTTAAGTTTGGTCCCGTTACAACCACGCCGGGCGCTCACCGCTGCGTTCTGTTGATTGTTGTTCACCCTGAGGGCATCCACGACTTCTCGTTCATCGAAGCCCATCTCCATCAAGGCGATGACAGCCTAAAACCAGAAGCACAGAGCTGCTTACGGAGGGCAGGGGACAGATTCTAAGGCAAGCTACTTCCTCCTGGCAGACTCAGAAAGATCTGCAGAACGCAACGTCCAGCATCCAAACCCTGCACCATCGTAAGAGTAAAGAGCCCACATTTTCAGCGGCAGGGAAATATAAATGCACATTGGGTTTCGAAGTACATTTAAAGGTTTAAACGCAGATTGGATAAGAATCTGAATATCTAGACCTGCCTGTTTTTCTAGCCAAAATCAGGCCCTTTTCTACCTCCACTCACTTCAGTGGGAAGAGTTCATTACACATCCATTAAGTCTCTGGAAAATCCAAGACATAAAATACTTTACAGAATGGATCATGTCCTTCTGTTACAGATGCCAGAAGATCGGAAGAGGGGCCTGGGACCCCCCTGAAACTCTACTAGGACTTTGTGAAGAGCCTTAAAATGATAAGTTGGCAGTGATGTTAGACAGGCAGGGAGGAACAGAAGAACATTAATTCTGCCTATAAAAACTGTCCCATTCTTCAAAGTAAGGAAGATATATATAAGGAAGGTATAAAGCCTTAGATGGCTTGAACCCAAGCTCTCTCAAGGACCACCTCTCCATTTATGAGCCTGCCTGTGTATTAAAATCCTCAGGGGAAGCCTTTCTCCTCTCCATTTATGAGGCTGCCTGGGTATTAAAATCCTCAGGGGAAGCCTTTCTCTCGATCTCTTCAGAGAAACCCAAACCAGCGTTGGATCAAGAAAACATACGTGAAGAACGGCTTCTGTAAAACCGGGCACCACCAAAAAAAATGCAAGTAGCCCATTTAGCGGGAAGACGACACAGCCAGATCCTTCAAGTCCCACCGCATAAAATCTACAATCTCGCGCACGTGTGTGTAAACGTGGAAGCATACCCTTGGATCGGGACGAAACTCTCTTTTCCTGCGTATCTTTTTGAATATTTCCGTCAGTTCGTCCTTGGTCTCCTCTTTGACGGCTTCCGGGCGAGCAGCCTCCACCGCCGGTTGGACTGACGATGCTCCCGCTTCCGCGCCGTCTTCTGCCGAGAACTGACCTGGCAGGGGGGCATCAACGGTGGGCTCATCCGCATGTTCAATCAGCCATTCCATGGCCTGAGTCACGGACATGCTGCATGACGAAGGTCACAGGTCAATAAGGGGCACCGCCCATCTGGACGGAGACAAGAGACCGGGAAAAACGGCCTCGCGCTAAGTTTCCAGCAGCAGCAGCAGGCAAGAGCTGTGACGATCGTACTGCGCCAAGAGGGTCTCGGACGGTGAAACGGGAGTAAGCAAGGCAAAACGGGGATAGTTCCACCCGAGGGACTGTGCTCGGAGGGCACCAAGGGATGAATGAATTGCAAATATAGTATTACCATAGTATCCGTGGGGGAGATGGGTTCCAAGCCCCCAACCTCACGGAGGCTGGAAAACATGGAAGTATCAAATACTTTGTATTGCACGGTCTCTTGTTCCCAGTGGTGGCCAGTTCAGGAAAATACACTCTGGAAATTTGTATAAATATGTATTTTTGCGATGGGGTCCTTTAGTATTTTCTGGCAGTGGATAAGTGAATCAGCGGATACTGCGGATAGGCAGGTGCTCCTCTATAAGAAGGGTTCTAAGGCCAAAAACACGGGCCTCTCCTTGCACGCCCTGCTCTTATTCATCAACGGCCCCTACTGGAATCCTTAGGGGAGAACCACGGCTCTGGCTTCTATCGTTGCGTTTTAACAAGGAGAACTCAGGAAGAGTCAGGCGCTCAATGTGAGGCCGCCTCTGGGACCGGCCAGGAATGACCCGACACCCACCCCACGGTACCTACTGGTTTAAGCGAAGGGCTTTGACCGCGCGGCTCTCGGGAAATCCCATCTCTGTCAGCTGCCGCAAGGCGATCTCATCCACCCGGTCGTCCTCGTCTTCGTCCAGCATGGCTAGAGACAAATAAAAAAATAAGTAAAGAAGGAACCAGCCAAGCAAGCAAACCAAAGGGATCAGTGCCCGATTGCTCGTGGATCCTTAATAGCTTGGGGTTCTTTTCTTTAACCAACAGAAAAGGGGGGGAAACAATACAGAACATGCACTAATCCAGAGGGTGATGGGTCCTGTATTCAACAGTCAATGGGGCAGAGCCCTACCATCCCCATGAACGTATCCAGATCTTGCTAAGCTCCAAAATGGAAAATCCCCAGAAACCAGACCTGCACCACCCACTCCAAGTCCCTTCCACAAAGGAGTCTGGAGTATAGACCAGGATTTCAGGCAGGAGAGAGACTTTTTAAAGACTTGAAAGGCGGTCCTACAGAGGAGGGGCAGGACCTGTTCTCCATCATCCCCGAGGGCAGGAGACACAAGAATGGGCTTAAGCGACAAGAAACTAGGTTTCGGTTGAATATCAGGAGGGAAAAAAAATTTCTTAACTGTTAGAGCAGTACGACAACGGAACCCATGATCTCAAGGGGAGAGGGTGGTGAGCGATCCACTGCTGGAGGCCTTCAAAATAAAGTTGGACCACCCTCTGTCAGACATGCTTTCATTTTCCTGCCTTGAGCTGGGTGGGTTGGACTCAATGTCCAACTCCATTATTCTATGTTTCGATCATCATAAACACAGTTAAGTACACTTACATACCATTTGCCTTCTTAAACAGTTCAACTGCATCTGGGTTCAGTGCCAGCAGCTTCTGGGCAACTTCTATGAGCGACACTAAAATCTTCCGAAGTTCTGTTTGGAACTAACAGGGAAAAAAAAAAGGAAACAGTCCTATTTTTCTTATTTAAAAGCCATTCTCTTGTAGAGTCAGACACAATTCTGGAAAGGGAGACCTCCATCTGTCTCTTAACTGCCTCTGAAGCACGGAAGGATAACTCACATCTCTCATATTGTGATGAGCCACGCTGCGATCGACGCTGTGAGACGGGAGACTGGTGGTGGCTTTCAGGATGGCTTCTTTGTCTGGCGCCTTCTGCTCCTGCTTCCGCTAGAACGAGAAAAGGACGCGCCTCGCGTCAACCGAGAGAGGAGCACATTTCACCTAGAAAGGGGTACGGCTGGATCTAAAGTCTGTCACGATCCCCTGAAGAAAGACCTCTGAGATGACAACAGGAGCTGAGACTTGAATACAAGCCTGAATTAATATTTCACAACTTTTTGCCTGCATGCAGGGAGAAGATGATTCCCAGGCGATCTCTAGCCCAGATCTTAGGCGACTGCGTTGATCTTGGAATCCTTTTCTACTGTTCTTCAAGCCAGATTCAGGCTGAATATTAGGGGGAAACTTCTCAACTGTTAGAGCAGTACGACAACGGAACCCATGACCTCAAGGGGAGGTGGTGAGCGCTCCAACGCTGGAGGCCTTCAAGAGAACGTTGGACCACCGTGCATCAGATCAGCTTTGATTTGGATTCCTGGATTGAGCAGGGGGTTGAACTCGATAGCCCTTCCCACTCCATGATTCTAGGCTTGGATTCTATGCCCAGAAATATACCGTATTTTTCGCTCCATAAGACGCACCTTTCCATAAGACGCACCAATTTTTTAGAAGAAAACAGGAAAATATAATGTGTTTTCTTCGCTCCATAAGACGCACAGACTTTCCACACACACCCTGTTTGTGGGAAAAAAGTGTGTCTTATGGTGCGAAAAATACGGTATGCCCTGCCTTCTAGCTGACATTGTGAGGTTTGCACAGAACAAGCTTCTGCTGTTTCCCCAACCTTGCAAGATCACCGTCCATAATCATCTCGGCTATTTGCCAATTTTACACAGAGCACTGCGTGAGCCACTGGCAGTTCTCTGTGAACACCCTACGTTATCAGGAAAAGACAGGCAGGAGGCTAAATATAGACCCTACGGAGCCACAACACGCACCACCCAAAATAGCCACAAGCTTACAACACAGAGGCTGTCAGGACAGGGGCCAAATGTCCCGTCACTGCCTCCCAACTGTCCTCTAGCTGAGTGCAGATTTTTTGTTTCGGTCAATGCACTTTGCGACAGGACAAGAAACATGGAGAGTTATTTCCCAAGCCTTCTTCCAAAAGTCAGCCAAGAAACACAGGCAGGATGCGCTACCCCGGTTGTGGGATAGGCCCCTTCCACCACAGCTTCAGTTCCACTCCACCTCTGTAGAGTCCATCACACTGACTTTTCTACAGGGGGAAAGTGGAGTACAAGAGATTGCAGGCTAAGGCAATCCACGCCAGGAGAGATTGTCTCTAGAGAGAAAGCGAGGAGCACCAATAGTTTTGTCAATGTCAAACTTAAGAGCGGCAGAGCTGGAAGGGACCCTTGAGATCATCCAGCCCAACCCCTGTCAAGGAGGCACCCTTGGGGGAATCGAACTCCCAAACTACCTAAGCCACTGAGCCATCCAGCAGTTCCTCTTCCCATAAGTTACAGCACCCATGCATCAGCTCAGACCTCAGCACAGAGCTGATACCATTGGTTCCCAAACCTGGGCCCCCCAGATGTTCTTGGACGAAAACTCCAAGAAACCTTCACCTCTAGCTGGGCTGGCCAGGATTTCTGGGAGTTGTAGTCCGAGAGCATCTAGAACCGCTGTTCTAGACACTGCCCAGGATGGCTAGAACCAGGAAGAACCACTTCCCGTGCCCGTTGGACTCACTTTCTCCTCGGCAGAAACATCGGCCATTTTGGGAGGGGTGGGTGGCGCTCTTTTCTTCACCAGCACCAGAACATCTGGAAGAGAGAGAGAGAGAAGGATCAAAACAGAAGCAAGGTGGCATGTCTGTAGATGTCACACAATTAAAATGGGAGAAAAGGCTGTTAAAGGATGGGAAACATGTTTTAGCCCATTAAGCCACTCAGTGGGAACAGAACCGCCCCCTTCTGGTTATGAGAATCAAGCTGGGCCACGGGGCAATCGGTCCACCCTATCTCGGGGACCATTTCTTTCTACGAGGGCTACGAGAATACTGACTACTCCAATACCTCGGTCTTGAACGTTCTCCTCCGAGACCGTTTTGGTATCTGTCAGGACCTTCTCGGAAGCCGCATGGATCAATTTATGGTGCGTGATGCATTTGGGGTCTTCCAAACTCCCGGGCGCACACTGCAGAGGAAATAATTTTTATGGTGGCTAAAGAATAAGCAAAAAAAAAAAATCGTTTTGCGAAAGCTGGGCGCCTTTCATGAAATGATTTCCAACAAAAAAGTTTGTGAGTGACTTCGGAGACACTTGATATCAATAGGCAGCTTCCATTTTCAAACTGAGATAACAGCAGGACCTCCGTATCTGCCGAGTCACTTCTCCACTGCCTGGAAATACTAAATAAAAACCCACAGAAATGCATAGTTAGATATCTGAAGGTAGCCAGTGTGGGTCTTTCCTGCACAACTTTGAGAGGTAGGACGGAGGGAGGGAGGGAGGGAACCCCCCACCCCAAGTTCACTCAGCTAGCTTCATTATCCCCGCCGGCTTGTTTTTAATATTGCAAGCTGCCTTTGGGGCTTCCTGGGCAGAAAAGTGGGTAGAATATATGACAAGCCTTGTGGCGCAGGGGCTAAACGGCTCTACTGCTGTGAAGACTCTGCTCACGGCTGGATTTCAATCCCCATGGGCTCAGCCCGCCATCCTTCCAAGGTTGGGAAACAGAGTACCTAGCTTGCTGGGGAGGGGGGACGAGGTCTAGCCTGCATAATTAAATTGCAAAACCATCCAGAGAAAGCTTTAAGAGCTGTGGGGTGGTCTATAAGCAGCACACATTTGCTTTTATAATATAATATACTAAAGTGTAGTATCATATCGCATAATGTACCACAGCATAATATAGTACATGATGATGTAGTACAATATGGTATAGCATAAAAGACCACAATATAGCCTATTAATATAGTATAGTATATTATATTTTATTTATTTAATTTATACCCTGCCTATCTGGTCATTGCAACCACTCTCTTTATATATTATACTGTATAGCCTATGGGAGCATCACATAGTTCAATAGAATACAATACAGCCTATTATAGTATAATACAGCTTAATATTAGTATACATAGTACAATACAACGTATAATATAGCACAGTATACTGCAATGTGTATTATAATGTAGGTGATTATAGTACTATACCATAGCATAGTATGCCTTAGAAGTATTGTATAGCACAATGCAGCAAGAGGGTTAAGAGCCAGTGCAATGTATATTATAATACAAGAGGGGCGATTATAGTATTAAGGTACCCCAAAAGAGAGAGAGAGAGACCCCCCCCCGCAAAGGGAGGGTCGGAGGGTCTCCTCCTCCTCCTCGGACCTCTTATTATTCCCCCTTACCCACTCTGGGGTTGGGGGGTTGCCCTCCCCT